ATTTCCTTGGTCTAGACAGGCTGCCCGCCCCCCGCATCAAAAGCACTTAGGGAAAAATTTTAAGAAGCCATATGCCTTGTGCTGGGTCCTAGTCACTGAAATAGCAGAATTTGCATTGCTATGAGCTCAGTGGCCCTACTCCCAACCTAAATGGTGAGGACTGGAAAGATTTAAGTTGTACACTTTCCTAAGGTGATCAGAGAGTGGGCAAAGCAGCTTGCAGAATGGAAGCACTTAAACTCATTGTCTCAGTCCATTTTGGCTACTAAAACAAAATACTTGAGACTAGTCAGTTTATAAACAGAAACTTGTTTCTCATTTATTCTGCAGACGGAGAATTTTACAGGCAAGGTGACAGCAGATTCTGTGTCTAGTGAGGACATGGTTTCTGGTTCATAGATGGCACCTTCTCGCTGTGACCTCACGTGGTAGAAGGGGAGGTTACTTCTCTGGGGACTCAGGACTTGATCACCTCTATTTGTTAAATCCCTTATTACCTCTCAGGCCAATGGCTTAACCAGCTCTCACATTCCACCAAGTCCAGGTTGGTCACTACCCTTGATTACCTTGAAACCTCACCCTGGGTGAAACCCGTAGTCTACTTCCAACTTTCAGCTTTCTCAGCACTTCACGTACTCAGACTCTTGTCCTTAATAAAACAGTATGTTCCACCTAGGCTCCACCTCCAGCTTGCCCTCCTAAATCAGCATTTCCCTGCCTCTCACTCTGCTCATGACGTTTGCTCCCCATCTATTACCTGTTCTTCGAGTAAATCAGAGAATTGATCGTTTAATTAGGTTTAGGATAATATGCATGTATCTTTGTTGCAATATTTAGAAGATGACCAACGTGTTTCATCCTTGGAAGGTAAGTGGAATGTGGGGGTAGCTATTCATCAGATGGCCATTAAACCATAAGTGAAAGCAAATTTCTCTAAACTACACAATAGGAAAGAAAATGGAGGAGTGAAAATTAATATGACAAGCAGTTGCTAATCAGGAGATGCGGATACTTCCATCTTTCAGTTTAACTTTTGTGCATGTGTCTTGTAGTGGAGATTGAACCCTGGACCTCACACAGAGTACGCATGTACTCTACACCTGAGGTGCACTCCCAGCCCTTGCCATTTTTGCACTGGTTCTTAAAGCAACTTGACATAAGGGATAAAAACTGGAATGTTGCTGGTAGAAACCAGACACTCAAATGTTTTAGGAGTGAAAGATTATGATGATAGCTTAGATTTTCCTGTTTCCAAAACTTCCTCTTAACTTTGGTATGTATGGTTATATATGTAAATGTGTATACTTAATTTGAAATTTAAGTTGCATCACAGAACATACAGAGCTATGTACATGGGTTTATACATTCATAGACTAGAAACGACATTCGATCAAATGTGAAAAATTTGGCTTTATGTGTTATCAAATCTCACTTTTGGGTATTTTCCATTTTGCTTCCAAGAAAACTTCATTTTCATTGGCTAAGAGAAAAAAGTAGAATTAAAAAAAAAAAAAGGAAACCAACCCATTGAAACATTTATTTATATTTATTATTTTGTTTGGGTGGAATAAGAATCTACTTTTCCTAACCCCCTTCAATTTTTACCTTCAAAACGTTTAACAGCCTAATTCAAAGTTATATTCTAAATACTAAGAGTATAAAACATAGGTCAGTATTAATTTTTAAAATATCATTTCAAGTCCATAGAGAAAAAGAAATTGGTGTGCTCCAGTAGCAACTTCCACTTGTTTTAACTTGTTACATTAAAGCTTGCAATTCTATTTAATTGGCATGTAATTTAATTGCCACATAAGTTATTTAATTACATACTATAAATGGAACATGTTGTTTATAGGCAGTCATATCTCTTTTGTTAAAAGTCAGGATGCTAGATCTTCCTCAATCTTGTTTCCATGTAAATCCTTCATGCCGCGCTTTTACTTTGCATGTAGCATCATAACACATATTGACTGATTCTGCCATTATTTATAATGGGGGGTGTGGTATGTGGATGTGCATATGTAGTTTTGCTATATTTTATTAATGAATTGAGCAAGCCAAATTTCAGTCTGCTTAATAAAAGACAAAGGCACAAAAGTCCAGTGTTTTATTTTAATGGAGATGATCATATCGCAATAATTCACACATGCCAGTAGATGAGGCCAGGTGGCCTTGCCCGCCATTCTTTGGCTAATTCCACCATATTCCTTTTGAACTTTTACCTTGTTACTTCTACTGGGAAGGCTTTTCTGACCTTGTTCATCAGTAGGTGGCTTTTCCTTATTTTCCTTTAAATAACATAAGAGCTCAGAGTCAGAACTAGGGCATCATCTTTATCTTTCTTAATTTAGGTAACATGATGGTGGGCTCCCACAGTTTAACTTCGAAGAGGCTCACGTTTCTTGATTGTAAATCAGGGATGACCAATATTTATTCCATTTTTACTAAAAATGTATTAAACAAGCTATTAATGACTTTCAACAATGATTCACACATAGAAAACATTTGACAAATTTTGCTTCCTTTTATTAAGTGGTAATAGATAAAAGTTGCTTGCACGAATGGATTATGATTATCTATTGACTGGCCTGGCTCCCACTCCTCTGTTTATTCAAGATGGGCCTGTGCATGTTTGTTTTCTGAAAGGAAGAGAATGGTACCTGTGATGTGGTGATTGGTAAATTGTGACAGTCTCTAGCTTTCTAATCTAACTGAAACTTTTCATGACTACTTCAAATAAATATTACTCATCTAACAAATATTTCTTAAACACTTGCTCTGAACCAAGCATTGCTTTGCAGGTAGGTTATAAATCTGTGCTCAGTTTCTTTTTTTGTAGAATTTTCGTGTCAATGGAGAGACTAATTATAAGCACACAAACAGATAAGTACCTGTTATGTTAAGTGGCGGTGATAAGAATTACACAGAAAGATATAGAAGAGGCAGAAAGCAAGAGAGTGCTACCAGCATTGCTCCTTTATGTAGCATGTTGGGCGGGCTCCTTTCTCCCCAGTGTGGATGATATTTGAGTAGGACACCCTGAGAAAATGAGGGAGTCAATGCCATTGTGGATAGACACAAAGTTTTCTGGGTGGATGGAAAGGAAAGTGCCCAGGCCATGAGGAAGAAGCAAGCTCAGTGTGTTTCAGGAAGAGCAAAGAGCTATTGTTCTTGGGTGGTCAGAGGAGAGAGAGGGTAGTAGAAGATGCCAGCAGGATAGCAATGAGCCTTCTGCAGCAAGGGAAATATCTAGAATTTTATACTGAGTTTGATAGGAAGTGTATTCATTAGCATTTGAAATAGAAATAACACTAAGCTATTTCAAGAACATTATACAGAGTAGGTGCTTGAAAACTACCACAAAGGGTAGAGGAAAGAGTGACTCCTAGATCAAGCCTTTGAGATACATTCCCAAGGGCAGTTGCTCTCTGCTCTTATCTAGAAACTAGGGAATTAGGGGCATCTTTTACCTGCCATTCAGGAATTAGCAACCCATCGGCAACCATATCCACTTTCTGCCACCCCTGAATCCAGTGCTGGACATGAGAGTGGTGGTCCACAAGAATCCAATGTTCCCACCACTCTGGTTGCTGGCAGCAGTGGCCAAATGCAGCAAGATATGAACTTGCGTCTTTAAAGTCCTACGAGGGTGCTTGAGTTGGGAGAAGTAAATTTTACTGTAAAACTTGGCTTTCTAGCTTTTGCTGTAAAGGAAATTGAGCAGAAGGACATTCCACCAGACTGTGAGGTCCAGTCACGAACGATCCCCATTCTGTTCACTACCAGCAGCCATGGGAGGTAGTGACTTCAGTGGCATTGCATGGAGACCACTCTGGCTGCTGTGTAGAGAAGAGACAACAGAAGACCACTTAGGAGGCCACTGAGATCATGCCGTGAGAGAGAGGAGCATGTTGGTGGAAAGTTGTGTTGAGAAGAAATGTAATCTAGTGGAACTCATTCATTGAGTTCTCAGTCATTCATCCAAAGGTTTATGTATTTTTGTAATACACCATATCAAATGCTTGAGCAAATATATCTGTGTGATCTTATTCCAAACTGAGTAAACATTTCTGTAAAACTAATGGTGAAATTTGTAGGGCCATGAGAATCAAAGCTTAATGTTAATCCTTCTTCCCAGAGATAGTTACCCACATCAAAAGATTTAAATGCATTCAGAGCAGTTTTATTTTTCAACATCAAAAGAGAAATTAATATTATCCATATTTTAATCCACTTGGCTACATGATCAGACTGTCAAAGCTTGTGGGGATGCCCGTTTCGGACAGTTAGCCCTTTGCAGGCTTGATATGAGACCAAAGCACCCCGCACGTTTGGCAATATCACTTATTTATATATCCCGCCTGGAAGCTCATTATTTTATATATCAGGATGCAGTCAGCACTCTGATGAAGAAATCACGATTATGTAGCCAAAGTGGGTTCTTATACAAAATATAATCTCATGTGGTTTCCTTTTTCTCAGTTCTTGAAATTCATTTAGATTGATGTCAAATTCTCAAAATAAATGCCACCTGATGGCATTTAAATTTGCATCTGAAATATGTGGATCGGCATTAAGCGGATGATTCCAAAATAGACTTCAGAATAAATATAATTTTTATTTTTTGACCAGATATATTTGTGAGTAAAAATAAGTCAGCTTGCCTGTTATTATAGGATAGGTAGACCGAGGTAATACTTTTAACACATTACATCTGTTTATGTTTGAATTTTTATTATTTTGTGTCTCTTTTTAATAAATTATCATGACATAAATATATACTTTATCTTTTTTAAAAGAACAGTGTCTGATTGCTCTTGTGGAATATTGTGTTAATTGAAACAATTTTAAGATTACCTATATGAATATACAAGGGGTAATCAAAATATATAGTAAATATTTAAATTTTAAAAATTATTATAGGAGGCTGGGGATTACCTCAGCGGCACAGCTCCTGCCTGGTAAGCGCAAGGTCGTGAGTTCAATTCCTGGTACCAGAAAAAAAAAACAACAAAAAAAAACAACAAAAAAAATTATCATAGTAAAAGGTACTTTGCCGTTAATCCCTCTCAGAATACAGCCCCTTATTTCCAACACATTTATCTCCTTCTTCTTGCCACTTTCCGAAGCGGTTCTGGAACTCCTTTTTCATGAGTGTCTTTACCAAGTATGACAAAAAATACGGTGAGTGCTGCCGCCAAGTGGCATCCATGGAAGGGCAGGAGTGGAAAACAGCTCGGCACCTTCATCCGCTTGTTCACTGGATCTGGCATGGTATGATTCTGACTCTTCCCAAGACAAAATGACTGCTAAAAGTGAACATTTTTAGTATATTCCAGATACCAAGGGAGCCAAGATAGCACCACTAAAGACTGTAATGAAAGAGGACTGCCAGAACTGCTTCAGAAAGTGGCAAGAATGGGATCAGTGTGTGTGAAGTAGGGTTGGGATTAGCGGGTGGATGTATTTTGAGGGGCACTAGTGGCAACGTGTTTTTTAATATAATAAATTTTTTAAAAAGTTCACCATAGTTTTTCAACATAGTATATATATATACATTTTATGTGCATGTGTATAAAATAGTGATCATGTATTTATGTGTATGTGTGTTCATAATTTTGGCTTGTTAATTTAACAAGAACCTGATCTCTTCTGCAGGTTTCATGAATTATACAGACATTCCTTATTTCACAACCTACCTGTTTAACGACTGTTCACACTCGAAGCCCGCATTCACACTTGGGATACAGGAATGTGAGGGGTAGTGCAGCCTCAGAGTACAGCACATTGTGGCTTCTTCCACAGTACAGTGCGGTCGTTTTTGCTCATTGTACCATTCAGTACCGTCCTGGAGTTTGTGTTCTATTATACATTACAGCACTGCACGTAGGAGCTATACAAAGAAAACCAAAGTCATCAAGTTGGACGCTACTTTGAGCATTTCTTTGTTCTGAATATTGTCATGTATGTGCTATCTACAGTTCCTCATTTAGTGTCCAAGTCACTTAGCAACCCAGCCTCCACAATGGCACTTGGTCCTTAAGCAAGGAATGTCTGTATGTTCATGTGCTTGGTTAAAGAAGTGATATTATTTTACTGGGTAGTATGATATAGATGGTTAAAGGCATAAAATTATTCTTTAAATCTGCAACTTTATATAAAAATGACTTGAATTAAGTAATGTGTTCTTACTACTAAGCCATTATAGGACAAATATGTTTAATAAAGAAAATATATATACATCTTTATCACATATATATATGAATATACAATGGGTATTCATATGAATATTCACTGGTGTATGTTTGGTGTCCATATATGTGAGATACCACACATTTTTAATACATGGCACTGTTCCTGGATTTATGCTATTTTTAACATTTTTATCTTGTACGGTAGTTTGTACATACAAGCTTGTACTTAATAAATATTTACTGAATAAATGACTACAAGAGCACATCCTTGCCTGATACTCAAAGAGCAAAATGTGTTTCTTAGAATTACCTTGGATTCAAGGGAAGCCATAGTCTCTTTTTCATTCTATTTAATGTAGAACTTATAATTACAGGTGTTCATTTAAACACGTTAAGGCTTTGTTTGAAAAGAACATTTGCAGTGATCCAAATTTAGCAAGGACCAGTGCAACACCTATCCACTACTGATACAAGTTAGCAGCGCTGGGCCCTTGTTTCTAAACTGCCTTTGTCAAACGTTTTTTCAGGTGGGTTTTTTAAAAATCAATATGCTTTTAAAGTCTCTAAATTTGGATTATAAAACTTGTGTGCTTGCATGTGTGGAGTAAATATGATGCAAAATGTCTCCTAAAACCACATCCAAAGACAAGAAAGATATCTACAATAAAAAGCTGGAGTTTCTCTTTGTGTAAGCCTCCATTTATAACCATATAAGCTTAAACTATCTTTTGAAAATGCATCATCTGGGCCGAGGATATAGTTAAGCCTGGCAAGCTCAAGGTCCTGAGTTCAATTCCCAGTACACATCAACGAAAAAAAAGCATCATCCACAGTGCTTTATATTGGCTATGTTCTTCCCCCCAAAACAAAGGTGTATTTTTACTCCATATTGCTTATCCTAATTCAGCCACTCACCTCTCCAGCACTCTCCCAAGAGCTTCCTGCTTACCGTTCTGACCTTAGCTAACCTCCTTCCCTTCCTTCACAGTCAGGGTGATTTTTCTAGCAAGCAAATCTAACCATATCACTGTCCCACTTACCCTTTCTAATGGGTGCCTGTAGCCGAGGGCATAGAACTTGAAGTCACTTCCGGTTCGAAAGCATACACTGTGGGTCTCTCAGACTCAGGCACATAACATTTTCAGTCTGGGCACCTTCCTCTAGACACGCCCCACCTCTTACCTTGTTGCCTCATGAAACCTCACCCTTCAAGATTCAGCATCACCTGCTCTGTGATCCAGGGGATGTAGTCGTCCCCCAGGGCCCTTTAGTACCTTACACATCATCCCAGCCTGGCGCACCTGATTATAAATGTCTACAGATGGATATGTAGATAAATTTCTTCTCTAGGAGTCTGTAAGATTACTGAATGTAAATACAATATCTTCCACTACCCGTTATTTCAGTGTCTGTCGCAGGATATGAGACATAGCAGGTAGTAGTCACAAAAGATGGGTTTGAAAGAGTGAAATCTACTCAAGAGAGCTATTGTCTGAAATTTGTGTTTGCTGTGGCTGATGAAATGCAGTTTGTTTCCTCCAGCAGGTGTCGCACTAGCTCTATCTTTTTATCTTGCTGTTTGGCTATTCAGCTTGGCTGTAACATATTAATTGGGCTGTTATGGGAAGGAGATGATAATTTAGGCACTGTTTACAGAATAAAGCTGATTTAACCTTCAGTTTTTCTATGAACAGTTTTTCCCGAATGCAATGTTCCAACTGAAATTGCCAAAGTAAAAGGAAGACTTCAAATTTGAAAAACAATTAAAGTAAAATAAAAATTCAAGATAGTGCATCAAGTGAAGAATGCAGGAAAAATGTAGAGCACAAAACCAAAACCTCTGAATGGTAATAGCACAATAATAGCTCTAGCTACACAACCCTTTCTTTCCACCTCGCAAGCACGATGCAAATTGTGTTTGGTGTTTGAGGCAGACCACCTAAAGGGAAAGTGAGGCCCGGGAGGAAATACTCCTTCCTTAAAAGGGTGTCTTTAACTTCGACTCACAATTCTGTGTAGAGAACCTTTGAATCGTAGCTTTTTGGACACTAGACATGTGACACTTTTACACAATGAGAACCGGGGAAAACAGAGACACAAACAAGGAAAGATACAGTCTGGAGATGATAAGTAATCATTGAAAGTATGAAGATAGATGGTGAAAATAATTCCTTAAATAATAAAGGTGGTGATTAGGTACACATTATTGGATAGTAGCATCTCAGGATAGAAAAGGAAAGAGAGTCATGGGGTTGGAAGGCCCTGGTTACATGTTCTACAATGCACAAGATCCTAAGATTATAGGTACCTAACCACCAGGACTATGTATTTCCAAACGTACTTTGAAATTTTCTACCCATCTGCAAAGGGTATTGTAAAGATCAAGTAAGTTAATGTGTGTAAACATAGTTCATGTTCTTCAAAATGCAACATTAGCATAAATGAGTATTAGAAGGGTCAACCTAAATAGAAACAGAGTTTCTCCGAGGAATACTGACTTTTTTGGGAACTGCATTGCCATAGGAATATAAGGGTCATGATAAGTTATGGGCATATTGAAAGAGGTTCCAACATGAGGATGTGTCTAAACTGAGAATGACTGCAGCAGATATTTGGAGCAGTAATGTTTGACTACAATAATTAATAGCAAGAATGGCACCCATGCAGGGCTCACCGGTTACTGGGCAGACTCAGCAGAGGTACTTCTGGTACGAGGCTGTAGTGGCCTCTGCATAAGTTCGTGGTCCTGGCAGTCTTTTGTGATGCTTACTATCAGGCAATCATGAGTAGGAGCCCTTTCTTCATAATCTCCCAGCTTCCTTTACTATTTTTTTTGATAGGATTGACACAGATGACTCCATTTTGAACCTGGCAACTTTCACATTTCTTTCACAGTGGACGAAAGTGAAGATCCCATCTCCTGAGCATCTATCATGTACCAAGAGCAGTACCAGTGACCTTGCACGAACACCACACACAAAGATCTTCCGGTCGGCAAGATTCTCTTCACGGGTTTTCACTTAAACACCTGCATCCACAGCTTCCTCCTCACTGCGCCCTCGTTGTTTCTTGGGCTTGTGAATCGTGTCCTGGTACCTGTGAGACATAGACGAGGTAGATATTACTGCCCGGCCACAGACACTGAGGGTTTGTGTCAAAGGCCGAGCTTTACCAGAACTGACAGTTTCCAGTTTCCAGACACCTTGTGGGAGTCGTGAGGTAGAATTAATGCTTCTAAACAAGCTGTGGATATGTTTGCCAAAAAATTCCCAGTGGAAATTTTCTTTTGAAGATGTAAAACAACTTCTCATCAGATTGAGTTTATATATACCTTATAGACCTTTTCAGGTGATTCAGTGAAAATCTCTGTTTCTAATTCAAAGGCTTCTTTGATGACAGGACAAAACCAGCTTCGGAAGATGACACTTTGAGATGAAAATACCAGCCTTATCCTAGATAAACTCAGTAAATATTACTCAATGAACTAAGATTAAGCCTTGTACCAGGCAATACCATAAATCTATATTCCTAAGGTTATTGATCTCAATATGTGCACAGAATTATAAATTATTTCATAGACTGTGATTTCTATTCAAAAATAATTGGACTGGCAAAATATATTGTCTTGTATGTGTATGTTTTGGGGTGCACTGAAGTCAACATTATTATTGTTCTAAGGAACATAGTTTGGTTGATAGGAATAGTAAAGAACAAAATAGTGAGAGAAAGGAAACTCCAAGGTTTTATTCAGTTTCTGTTTCAGAAAGCAAACCCACCAGCAGTGCCTACCCTTAATTCCATCCTAACATTTCCTTTTAGTCATCTTTGGCTTTTCTGTAGGTTATACCTGAAGTATTTGCTGCTAAATGAAACCAAATAGTGCAGGAAATTAAGCTTTTCATCCCCCTAATTTGCAGACATTCAGATCAGTTATCATACAAGCACTGTTGGAATATTAGCAATCTATGCAATGGATTACAACTTGTATAGATTTTCTTGTGCACTTCTGCAAAACTTCACTATTTCCCTGGCTGTTGAACTGACACTGTTTCCGGTTGGTAAAAAAACTGGCCAAATACTATGTCAGTTGCTGATTAGTAGCTCTATTCCTTGACAAGGTTACCATGCTGCCCTTTGATGTCTCATCCAATGTGGAATTAATGTTGTTCCAGGAGGTAATGGAAATGAACTGAGTTCCACATCAACCGAACAGGCTGGACAGCAGGGCAGCCTTGCACTTTGGTCTTTATGAGTAGTCAGATGCTTCATCACCACAAATCCTGTCTGTCAAGTTCCCCCAAATAAGCTGGATTTATGAATATGGGTTGTTACTCCTTGTTCCAATAATGAGCTCCACTACTGGTGGTTGCTCAAAGAATCACAGAAAAGCAAAGCAGCGGACCTGTCATTAGAGAACACCCTACGTAGGCAGTGGGAGTTGGATATAGCTTTTAACTCCAGGCCGTTGATGGTAATTTTTGGTTGCTTGCCTGAGTTGCCTGAGGCAACTGAAAACATCACCTGAGTTTTATTCAGGCTAATTGTCAGCCTGTGCAGGGGTCCCAAACTTCAGACATGATTGACAACCAGATACGTATTCTCAGGTATACGAACCTCCAGTTCACGGTCATTAGCATGCAGTTATTCAGGGTGGGCGGCCCCAAAGATGTTCGTAGAGGCCAGAAACGTGCAGAAGGAATAGCACACTGTCACCCAGGTGTTTACAGCTCTTGTTGCCTCACTGAGAATCCTTGCATAGAGGAAGATGGATGGCGTGGGGACTGTGGGCGACCTTGTTTGACATCCGTTTGTGTGGGAGGCTGTTCAGGCTGGACACCATCTGTCCTGTCTTGGCCACCGTATCATCGCGTGACTGTTACTCCACATGGATGGATTTCTTTGAATAGCTGAGTGTGTCATGCCTTAGCTAAGTAAAAAACATTGTATAAACCCGGTGCTGCTTATCACCTTTCTTCTCTCCTTAGAAAACTGTAACACTGTCTCTCTGTGACTTGTCTATAATTTTAAGGGACATACCTGACTATAAAATAGATGATTATATGTGTGTATTACATAGTTTGCCTTTAAAATCTAAATACGTCTGGAACTCTTTTCTTTCTCTGTTCTTTTAAAATGTATCCTCCCCACAAATGTGCCTGTTAGTGCCTTTTTTTTTTCTTTTTGGTGCTTCTGGTGCTTTGTTGGGTAATTAAGCTTGTATTAAAATCAAAATCCCTATAAACAAGCTGTCAGCAATTACATCTAAAAGCAGGGTTGACATCAGATGTGGTATGTTTTGAAGCATTATATCTTTTTCAGGCAAAGACATTTGAAGTAATATAGTAAATATGACTTTTTCCCCAGCCTGGGAAGAAAAGAATCCAAGCATTTAAAACTTCCACAAGTCTTCTGGTGCTCACTCTAACCTTGCTACACTCCTTGGGATCTTTCCTGAGAATGGCTTTCACTTCAGAAGTGGGAGGGCCTTCATGTTCCCTTGAGGGGGAGATCTGTTCCCTACATATAGGGGCTAGTATTGCCTCAGGACACAGTAGCCTTCCAAGAGCTTACACTTGAGAGAGGATCTCTAAGGAAAGAGTTCCAGCAGGACAATGCGGCCTGCTTTAGACCTGCCCCGGAATATTTCCTGCTTGTCTTTATCTTCGGTTGCTAAGAGATAGGTATCTGTTCCTCCACAGGGAGACAGAAATGCATGCTTGGGCTTCCTGCCCTCCCCGCCCTTCTCTGAGGACCAGGCTTTCCTGATTAGCAGAGTCCAAACCTGTATTTATAAGCTGGAAGCTACTGGCAATGTTCTGATCATAGGTACCTTTTGTTTGCCCTGAAGAGTGTTTTAAAAAATTACACATTTCACCCAAAACATCTGCCTTTTTGACTTCATTGGAAAAATTAGAAGATATGTTAATCCTAGAAGATGTTTCTAGATGGCAGCAAATGTCTGATCCCAGGAAAAGCTGAGTTTTAGACAGGCTGTGAGATGGGATTGCCACTCCTTAGTGTTTTGTGTTTTTCGCCTGCCTTTGTTTTTCTGATTCCTAGCTTAGGACCATAACAAAGAACAAAAAGTGTTCCAGATCAGACATTTCTTTCACAGTGGAGGTCAAAGAATTCTTCATATGCCCAGTAATGTTAAGTTCTTTATTTTTATCCCCACTCATTTTTCAAATTCTTTACTGAAATAGCCACAGCCATTGACTGCAATCTATAGACTTTCTGGGGTGTTTTGAGTAGTTACATAAAGCCTGAGGGAAACAAAAGTAAGAGTTGGATCAAAGGCCTTATAAACCCTCCTTTCAGGAAGGAGGCAATGGGAAGTCCTTCTCCCAGAAGTGCTCGAGGTTCTCAAGGGATTGGCATACTTCAGCTCCATCCCTCAAACTCAAAGTTTCCTGAAAGTCTTATAATCCACTTCTTTCCTATAACTGTAAGAATTTCCGATAGAGAACTTCTGATTCCCTTTCTTGATCGTTTCTAGAGGTTAAAATAGCTTCCTACCATGAATATTTATTTCCATCCCATTTTTGGACTTGCCCTCTGTGAAATGGGTAGAAAGTGTAGATATGTTAATCCTAGAGCACTTTTCTAGATGGCAGCAAATGTCTGATCCCAGGAAAAGCTGAGTTTTAGACAGGCTGTGAGATAGGACTGCCACTCCTTAGTGTTTTATGCTTTTCGCCTGCCTTTGTTTTTCTGATTCTTGGCTTAACACCATAACAAAGAACAAAAAATGTTCCAGGTCAGATATTTCTTTCACAGCGGAGGTCATAGAACTCATCATATGCCTGGTAATGTTCTTTATTTTTATCCCCACTCATTTTTCAAATTTTTTACTGAAATAGCCGTAGCCATTTGCTACAGGTCAAAACTCTGACCCCACAAGGTTGTTGAGATAGGGATTTTAGTCACTTGCTTCTGGAAAGGTTGTACTTTCTTTAAGCCAAACAGTATCTCATAACTTGTGATCTCCCATGGAGCTAATCTGCTCCACCCCTCTTTTCCATACAAGCTGTTAAGTGTTGAGTGACATTAATACTTCCCAAAGTCCCATTATGTTTGGTTTAAAAATCACCAGTTATTTCATTGGTTTCTCCTATGACAGTTTCTAGAGTGCTCACCATTTTTATAAACATGCACAATATTCTGTGCTCAGAGGCAGCACTTCACTGTGGAGTACTGAATGTCATACCCAGGAGTAAGTGCAACAGACTTTTTCTACTTAATTTCAGCAGAGGTCATAGAGGCAGAGGACAAACATGGGCTAGTAGGGTTGCTGAGTCCAAGCTTGTAAAGAAAACCATTCATATGAATCAAGCACCAAGTGAAGGGTGAACCCTGGAGTTGTGCATGTGGGGCACAGCCTGCCCGATCCTACCTGAAGCTCCTGACACACCCTGGAGAGAAGCGCTGACTGCAGGTGCAAGCTGTGCGTTAGTTCATCACCTGCTTCAGGGAAATGAAAGAAGGTAAAGAGTTTATTACCAGGAGCAAGAAGCCAGTGGTGAGAATTTCACCGGAGAAAGCATTCAGTGTGTCCACTTCTCCTTGTTCCCACACCCATCTGCCATGTGTGTGAGGATGTTTCCCCCCACCTTAAACAGACAATGAGACTGTCAGAGTACAACTTAGAGAACACAACCCCTGCCTATGAACTTGGAGACTATAGTGACTGGTATGTTGTCTCCTCACTGTAACTCCTGCCGAGTTGCTATGGCACCGCCAGCTGGAGGTCATGGGCTATGACGCAGAGCCAGTATGGCACCTAGCCAATATGCTGCTGGCCACTAGAGGCCACGTACTAAACCCCACCCTTTTTCCTCTGAGTCAAATTGTGACTTCCTACTTCCCTTTTTGTAATATCCTGTTTCCCTTTCTCATGCTCCTGCCCAATCCTGGTCTGCCACATCAAGCGGTCCACCCCCTAAACCCTGCCTCCAGCCGGACCCTATTTAACCTTTGACCCTACGGCAGACCTTCAGAAGCTCCTCCTCTCTCCTTTCTGCTGTGGTTTTTTCTGCGCCCACAATAAAGGCATTTTTACTTTTGTTCTATTCTTATCTGCGCCAAAAAACCTATCAGTATGTGCGCTGAGATATAATTGTCATATTTGCACGGTGTTATCAGTGTGATCCTCAGAGGACACTGAACATCTGAGAGTTCAAGCCTGTATCACATTGATATTTTTTCAGTTGTCATGTGACAAAATTATTTTATATTGGGTTTCTAAGCAACTAAAACATCTAGGTCTTTCTTAAAGAAACAAATTTGACCAGACATCGTGATATTGCATATGGGCAAATATTCTTCTGGATGCTAATTTAGAAGCAACTGGTTACAGAAGCAGCAACCCTGGATTTATTTTTTTTTGGTTTTTCTCCGGTACCGGGAACCGAACCCACGACCTTGCGCTTGCCAGGCAGGCGCTTTTGCCGCTGAGCTAAATCCCCAGCCCCAACCCTGGATTTAGAATGCCTTGGTTGGCATCTCAGCTTGTCTAATGACTTGGTCAACTGCTATCTCTCTGAGCCTAATTTTTCTTATCTGTATCATGAAGATAATAATGCCTTCCCCCAGGAATCAAGAGTTAAATGAAATAATGTGTGTGGGTAGATAAGGACGGATAATTCCCTTCTGCCTTTTTGTAGGACACTCAAAATTTGTGATTTGCTGAATCCCCAACTACCCTGCAGGGGACAGTGTGACACAGAGGCTGAAGTCCATGGCTAAGGAGGTGTTACCACTTACAGGTGTGTGACTTCAGGAAAATTACTTTAATTCCCTGCCTCTCCAAACCTTTTCCTGCTAAAAAGGTAGAAATAATAGTGTTTGAGTACACGATAAGACATGACATTTAAAGCAGTTGGCACACAGCCTGGCACACAGCATGCATTCAGCAATTTTTTTTTTTTTTAAATTGTCATTACTACTGTTCTGGGCACTGCGACCAGAGTAGAGTTTATTTGCTTCGATGGCAAAGCTTACAGCTTTCCTTCCCAAACCTGGACATAGCGTCTCCTTGAAACACATGTAACCATGTTCATTTTCTGGTGATCACTGAAGAGCCTTTAGTTTAGTCTGTGAATAAATAGTGTATTTCCACCAGGAGGAGGGGAAGGGTGGGGAGGGACACCAAATGCCGCGGCAGTGAACAGTTTCATTCTTTCTACACAGGTTCTTGCTGATTCTTCTGAGAATATCCTCCTCCAAATTCTAGGTGTCTTGTCTACATCCTCCTAAATAACTAGGTTACTCTGATCCTGTCCCTCCCATTCCATCCTTTTATCTAATGGACTCAAGAGGAGGAGGCTTCTCTGAATTCCTTCCTCTGTGATCTCTCTGCTCACCCTGCCTTTGCCGTCATCCTCCCTCAGCCACCGTCCTTCTTTCCTTGCTGTTTTTTGCTACTCTTCAGGACACTAGGGATGAACTGTGTTATCAGGAGCTAAGTTCCAAAAAATGGAGAGCCATAACTTCAGGTTTGAACTAGCCGAAATTTGAGATTTAGGGTTTCCATAATATATTCTTTAAATTATCATTAAAATGATGAAACAGATTATACTTTATTTAGGAATGGTAACAAATAATGTTTTCCTATGAGAAAGCTACAATGAAACGATCCATTGTGAGAGAAAAGGAAGAAAGAAAATGTATTGTTATTAGTTTTAGTCCTTTTCCTCTCTATGAATATATTAATTTTTTCTAGATTTGTAGAGGTCTTAAGAATTGCTTGAAAGCCCTTATTATTGCCTTAATAAGCCCTTGGGAGTTGGCAACCTCAGATTGGGCATTGCTGGGTATGACTTTAGCCAGAATCATTAAAACCAAATCTGCTAATGAAGGAGATTCCATATTAAGGAATACAATGATTTAAAATTTGAAATGGCTTATTTCATTTTGTTTCTTTAATGTTAAGACATTTGTTTTGGTTACTAATATATCCTAAGTAATTTCTCAATTACTTAGTGGAGAATTAGCTACTTTCTTTTTGGGGAGGAGAGGTGTGGTAGAAAAAGCAAGAGCTTTGAACCAGAAATATCTGTTTCTTCTACTTACATGATGATTGACCTTCACTAATCTAGTAAACCTATCTAAGAATTGGTTTCACCAATCAAAAATGATCTTCATACTGACCGCCTAAGGTTGATGTGAGGATGGAGGATGCTCTATATAGATAGTGACTAGAGCATTATAGATAGCTAATAAAGTGCATCTGTTACTAGGAGAATGAGAAAATTACCTTTTTTGAATGTTACTGCATGCCAAGACTTCCTCCTTTTCTAATGAGAGAACAGAGGGTTGGAGAATGTAAGTAGCTTTTCCAAAGTCAGGTAACTAAAACACAGCTGTGTTCATCACCATCGACCAGTTTTGCTGTGATTAACAGCAATCCCCAAATGTCAGCGGCCTTAACCACCAAAAGCTTGTTTTGACTTGCAGTCACTCTTGTCCACCGTTGGTTTGCCTGGGAATGAGGGGCTGTGCTCCATGTTTTACTTGCACAGGAGGTGAGCTGGGGAAAAACTGGTATCTGGAATGGTTAGTTGTTTTGCATGAAAAAGAAAGCTGGAGAAATCTGCAGGAACTCTTAAAATATTTTCCAGAAGTGTCAGACATCACTTTTCATTCATGTTTCATTGACTATAAGAAGCCACATGGCGATGCCTAACTTCAGGGGAGGGGAGACATGCAAGCCTCTCTTATGACCCAAAGAAGTTCCATCTTCATGGTGACAAAATTCAATTCAAACCCAGGTCTCTGGTTTATGAGTGGACAAACAGGGGACACATAACCTCTCACCTCTTCTTAAATCAATTCTTTAGAACATGGCATCTTTGGTACATCTGAAAAAGCAATTTTAGAATTTATACTATCACTTGCATATCAAGTCTTAAGTGTGGGGGAACGATGCCAGGCAAAATGGAGGCATACACGGGACTTCTCATTTTGTGATTATGGATAATTCAACTATGCACTTTGAGAGATTTGGCCTCTTTGTTATTTATTTGCCTTTTAAAAATCAATGAAGTTGTGCCTTCACCTCTATACTCCACTTTCTGCTTATTAAATATTTCTCCAGATCATAACACACTCCGGTATTAACCACTTTGCTATTTCCCTTTTGGCTTATAGCTTAGGAAATAGCCTCAGACTCTGTGGTGACTACAGAACACATCGGAGGAAGGACTTCACTGACATTCTGCACTTCTGTTCCCAATGTGGTGGAACCTCATCTTAACAGAGCATTTCTCCCACATCCTTGTAGGACTGATCATTTGCTCAGAGAGAAAACTCTCTACAGCAATAGCCTCATGCAGGTGCAGAGAATAAACTTTGCAATCGTGATTCCTCTTCCTCAGCAAGAATGTGGAATCTGTGTGGCCTTTACTAAGGTAAAAACCACTAAAAAAAGAAACTTAGAAGAAGGGAGTAACCTTACATTATTATTTTTCTTTTCTCTGGTGAGTCTAGAATGCAGATCCTCCTACCAGGCAAACTGTCTACTGCTGAGCCTCATCTCCAGCCTGACGTCTCACAATTTTGGTGTTGGATTAACTATAGGTGTTATATTGCAAAACTGTCTGTATCTCAAGGGATTCTCACTTTGTTTCCAAGCAAATTCCTAAAGATCCAGGACTGCAGCCTCGATGCTTTACTCTGCCTGTTGAGTGACTAATGTCACTGCTTTGGGCTTCACTGAAGATGATCAGTGGGTAATCTCTGCTATAGTTGGGTTCTGGAATGTCCCTGCTTTGGTTCCCAGCTTGATTGTAGTTGGATTTTTTTTTTTTTTTGTATCTGGAATTGAACTCAGGACTTTGTGCTTGCCAGGCAGGCACTGTGCCACTGAGCTATATCGCCAGCTCCTATATTTGGAGGTGAGGGAACTGTAAGAGGTTGGGCTTAGTTAGAAGTCTTTAGGTCACTGGGACATGTTCCAGAAAGGCATAAGGAACCCTCATGCCTTCCTCTTCCTTTCTTACACTTCCAGCCATAAGCTGCACCCTTTTTCTCAACCACACGTTGCCCACCAAGGTGTGCTGCTTTATCACGGGCCTAAAAGCAATGGAGGCAACTGATCATGGACTGACTTTCAAAACTGTGACTTAAAACAAACATTTTTCTTTGTAAGTTGATTATCTCAGGTATTTGTTTTATTGACACAAGACTGGCTAATACATCCTCTTTAACTCCAAGTGAACAGTTCTGTTTTCCCCATTTTATTTTCTTTGAAGCCTATTCTGCAATATCTATTGGATTCATGTCTTTCATTATAACAATAAAATCTCATAATTCAGATTTTGTAATCACTTCAGTAGCGACAACACTGTTTTTTTTTAACCTTTTGTGCCCATAGGATGAAACGTTGGTTAAATAATTACTAGTGAAAGCACGCTTGTTGGTGGAATATTGGAGCCCTATGAGAAGATGCTGTAAATTTTATTAGAGGTGCTTATTTACATAAAACTAAGATTCTAATTACCAAAAGTGTATTTTTATCTAATTGCTATTTCTCATAGTTCCCATAAGGTAGCACTTGCTGAAGCTACAATATGAACTCCAATATGATGGGGAAGTAGTAATAAAGCCATGCTTTAGTTGTTTAAATA